TCTTAATTGCTGAGTAGCTTGCTTGGCTCAGGAACAACTGAAGAGAACAAAGAAAATGACCCCAGACCTTCCTTACCTCAGTCTTACGCAGCAACCGTAGCCAGACCAAGCACATCTGCAGTTTCCAGTGTGCCAGGTGAGTGGTGTGGGGCCTACCTGGCCCCCACGTACCTGGGGCTGGGGTGCTCTCCTCAAACTATTTCCTCACGGATGAGGCCTGTGACAGCTTTCACCTTGGGCCCTCAGCCCTGACAGATGTAGCACAGTGTCAGGATTAACCCTTTGTCTCTTGGAGAATTCCAAAGAGCTAAAGATTTCAGACATCTGAAGTGGAAGGGGAGATGAGACTGCCATCTCCCGGAGACCTGGAGACTGTAACTGATGAGGTTTAGGTGGGTGAGCAGTCCCTGCAGATGGAAGGCAGAGATGGCTCCACGGCTTCCTCAGGCCTCCCTTCCTCTGCGGTCCTGCCCCGTGTCACAGGCTAAGGACTGACCATGTGGCTCCTTTACTCTCTCGCTCTCATTTCCAGGTTACTCTGAGGATGGCGGGGCACTCCGAGGAGAAGTTATTCCGGAACACGAGTTTGCAACGGGACCAGTGTGTCTTGATGATGAGAATGAGTTTCCCCCTGTGAGCATTAGGAATCCGTAAACGAGCAGCTGTGTCTGTGTGCTGGGAAGGCGGCTTTCCCTTGTACAAGAGGCCAAGTTACTTTCCCTGTTTTCTAGTCCCTAACAACTAATCCTCTGCTCTAAGATCCGGAGAGCCAGCGAATGCCGTGTGTGTGTGTGCCTCAGATCACACCCACTACTGTGAGGTGTCATACTAAACCCTGACAGCGTTAGGGTAACTGAGTACTAATCCAGGGAGTCGGGGGCTCTTACTACACCCGAGGGCTGGACTCCTGTCCTCTGCTTCCATATACTGACATTGCTGCTCAGAGGTGGGAAACTTCTGTCTGTGTGAAGTTTCCTGCAGCTCCTAAGGGTGCTTTTGCAGAATGCTGCCTTCTTGTTGCTGGAGGTGATGCATTAATGGGGCTGGGCTGTGTGTTTAGGACGCTGAGCTGACTGAAGATCTGCAGAGCAGCTAGGCTGCACCTGTTTCTGGCTCTCACAGGGCAGACCCAGGCCACCCTGCATGAGCAGCTGTAGGCACTCATCAAGTAACCCCCAGGGAAGGGCCAGAGCTGGGATGTGTGAGTGCTCCTGGGCAGCTTATCTTTTTATTTGAGGTATTGGAGATAGAGCTACATCCCCAGCCTTTTTATTTTTTGAGACAGAGTCTTGCTGAGTTGCTCAGGCTGGGCTCAAACTTATGTTCCTCCTGCCTCAGCCTCTCAGATACTGGGATTACAGGTGTGTACCACCACATGCTGCTTCACTTGACCATCTTTAGTGGAGTTTCCCAGCATCTTCTTCAACTGGTCCAGCAGCAAGGGCCTCTGGGGCCAGCACTGGGCTGAATTGTTTCCAATGTCTGTACCTGGAGAAAGATTCTCTCCTGGGGGAAGGAACAGAGCTTCCCCAGCTATGGCTTCAAGTTTCCACTTAGCAAAACATAGACCCTTTTTGTGAGCTTCAGTTAACAAACACCCCAGCTAGTCAACTTGAAATCATTGCAGACGGAAGCAGTATCAGGCCACAGCCTGCACAGCCGATTCCTAGAGCCGGAGAGGGGCAGTCAGAGTGTCCACAGGCCTTGTCTGGAATGTTCTTTGGTGACCCCTGTTGTATATCAGTGCGATCCATTTGTAAAAAGATAGAGTGCAGGTTTGGCTCCTTTTTCTCATGGATCCATGGAACGACCTAGGAAGCACATTTGGCTGAAGGAAGCACACAGCTCTTGTGGGACCTTTGTGCACTGCGGGGGCATTTGTGACTTCCTTGTTGGCTCTGGGGACTGCAGCCTGAGACCGACATTTCAGGCTTTTACTGGGCAAGTTTCCAGGTACACTGCCAGCGAAGGTTGTCTGTGTTTGTTTTAGGCAGGAGTAGTTCTTTATAGTTACGCATTTTAAACCTCTGTTAGCTTGTTGCCTAACAGTTGTTATCCAAACCAGTTGTTTCACCTTTGAGCTCTTTTAATGCTACTAGCCCTGCAGGGAGTTTTCTGTCTCCCCAAAGTTGGTGATTATTTCACCGAAATTGCATCTTTCAAGGGCCAGAGCACTGTGGGTCAGACACAGTGGGGACAAACGTGACCGTCCTACTCCATCCAGGTTTAGAGAGTTCAGATGCTCACTGGACTCTGTTCTAGTAACTTTGGCAAAAGCTTGTGTCTGCTCTAAAAGATGGCAAGATTATGAATTAGATTCTTAATTGTAATCAGCAAAATTGCAGCCTCTCCTATGTACAGAATTAGGGTAATTTAGATTTTGGCAATTGGAAAATAGCCCTTTGCCAAAGAAAACCTGTATAAAATCCTAAGTACCCTGTGTACATTTGTTCGGGGCTAACAACAGAATTGGAGATGCTTAAACGTAGAAGTAGTGCTTGAACTGTTGGTAGGCCTGTACCCACATACAGTGCAGGAGGCTGGGTAGGAGCCAGTTGTCCTCTCTTTTTCTTAAGAAGCAGAGGAGTAAAGGTTGGCTTAAACTTTATTAAGAATTTTATCAACGTAGCCAGGCATGGTGGCTCATGCCTGTAATCCCAGCACTCAGAATGCTGAGGCAGGAGGATCTTTGCAAGTTTGAAACCATCCTGGGCTACAAAGTGAGCTCAAGGCCAGCCTGAACTGCATAATGAGACCCTGACTCAGAAGGAAAAAAAAAGAATTTTATTAATGCAAAAAGAGATGTTTCCTCTCAGAGAGGACAGTCACTGAATATGGTCACTAGAACATGACCCCAGTGTCAGGCTGTCCTTGGATGCAAGGCGGGTGCTAGGTGTCATGGCTGTCCCAAGACAGACCCAGCTTGCCCTTGCACCCGCAGATAGATAAGGAGGAGGAGACACCACCTACTGAGGGACCGGGTCAGTGACCCCACAGCGGCAGCAGCATCACATCAGGGATGCTGGAAACTTCCTCTCCTTGCCTTTGTACTAAATCACCATGTCTTCTGTTGCAATCATTTGTCCAGAATCCATATCTTTACTCGTATTCCTTAAAAGCTTCTGAGACTACGGAAAATCTTAGTGTCTCGACTTGGCTAAAATCACTTTTCTTCTCAATGGAAACACAGCTTGCCTGGGGCTCCCTGGGCCTCTGCCTTAAGAGCATGGGTCATCATAGTGGCCTTTGTGAAATAGACTGACATTGGCCTGCAGGTCATCCCTTTCCTTCTTGGGATTTACTGGAGGTACTGGAGAGCATGCCTGAGGGAGATGCAGCCCCCAGAAGGCCAAACAGCTTCTGCCTTGGTGACGAGCCAGCACACAGGCCTGCGTATTGGGAGACTTGTCTCGGCCTTGTGAGCAAGCGTAAGGCCAGCTGCACCAAGGACACACACTGACCCTGTGATAATGACCTAACAGTCTGTGTTTACAAGATAGCCTTTTTAAAAAACATGTATACATATACATACACACACGAGCATGAACGCACATGTACATAGAATCAGTATTTTTGGAACCTGCCATGCTTGTCCTTCACCTATGAAAGATGGGTGGCTTTTCTTAAGTGTGGGTGAGGGTCAGCCTGTGGGCACATGGAAAACCCCCATGGGGTCCACCTCCTGTGTGCACCACACTTGGGCCAGACCTTCACTGCACTGCTGCCCACAGCCTTTTCCTGCGGAGAGTAAGGCCATTCTGTTTTGATTTCGGTAGATAATCTTGTGCCGTGGAAGTCAGAAGGGCAAAACGAAGCAGTCCTGACGAGAAGCGCACGTCAGAAATCAGGACACCCCCTGTCAGGTGGTTTTGGAGAAAACCAGGAAGAATGGAGTGCGATTGTGTGAACAGAAAGGGAGGCAGGAACCCAGGTGCTGTGCTTGCCTGGCCACGGGACGAGGCTGACTCCTCACCAAGATCCCCGGGCACCGGGGTCCTGCTGCATCTCACGTCCAAAACCCCCTCAAACCGCAGTGCAAATGCTGGCTAACCATATTGGTATGTGGCTGGAATTTTATATTGAAAAGGGCATCCTTTTTAAATGTACGTCGTGTAAAAAAACATGTACTTATAGGATAAACTACTCGAATTGTATTTCTTGTATATTACATTCATATAGAGAGATTATTTTAGTTAGGCAAAGTATTTTTGCAGTGATTGGAATAAATCATTTATTACCTTTGAGTCCCATTTAGGACACTAATAAAATATGGCAATGCATTTTTTAGTTTCTTAAACTTCATTTCATGTCTTGGCGATTTTTAGGGAGAGGTGAGAAGAACTCCTAAAATCTTTACAATCCACTCATTTGCAGGTGGGCCAGGTGGTGCAAGCCCGTGATACCAGATTCTGGAAGCTGTCTCAGAATAAATAAATAGGGATGGGAAATGTAGCTCAGTGTTAAGGCCATGCATATAATCCCAGTACCGCAAACCAAACTCCACTCATCTGACCTAAAAGGAGGAAAAGGGGGGCTTTTCCATGGATTCTTCTGCTCCGAGACCTGAAAAGAGCTAACTTTGATTGCTTAAGACAGCCCATGGGAGCCAGCTGGGAATGTGGGCGCTCGGTCCCTTCCCCAAGAGCTGGCATGGGTGCTTTCAGTAGAGCCCAGGTGATTTGTATGTAAGTTCTGCTTCGCTATCTACCCTAAGTCGCCAGTAAAACTTAGGAATACAGAAATATAATTAGGAAATTAAAATGTACTAAGCTTCTGCTCTGTGTAGGACAACATGCAAGGCATTTTCATGTATTACCGTGTTTGACTTTACGTACTCTCATTTCAAGTGAGATTAAGTAACTGCCCAAGTTCAAAATCTGGGACCAAACGTGTGCCTAATTCCAAAGCCTGTAAGTGGTCCATGACCCCACGGTAGCTGCGCTCCTAAGTGCCCTGAAGAAGGAACAGTATGCAAAGTAAAGAACCCCAACGCAATTCACCTGATTCACAAGCATTACTCCTTGTGGCAGCACCGGCCTGTTACTCAGTGTGGCAGCGGCAGGCAATGTGGTAGGGACCGCAGCAGGGAGTGGCCAAAGGGTCCTGAGTATAATCCGCTCTGGAAACGTTGTCACTGGCAACGTCCTGCAGGACCTCCATGAGAGCCTTCCTGACCTGGGGCAGCACGGCCTGGTACTCAGCACTGCTCCTGTGGAGCGGCACACCTTCTGCGGCATCCTCTTCCAGGTCGAAGATGAGGGGCAGAATGTGCCGCTGCTCCGGCCCAATGCTCCCATCGCAGGCTTCAGCTCCCCCTGGAGAGACAGTGACAGTAAGTTGGCATCAGACCCAGCTTGGCCCTGTGTTGTAATGAGCAGAGCTGCGCCTGACTGCGTATTAACTTAAAGGTACCAGCCCTTGAAAATTCAAATAGTTGCTCTCCTTGTCAAACAAATTACTTCGAGATCTCTTTTCTCCTTCCAGTGATGGTCCTGTTGTCCACCATGATGGGGAATGGCCTTGGACTGGCCTTCAGGGTCAGTCGAGCATTTGCTCAGTTATCTTGCATCTCTGCCCTTCTGGAACAAATCCAATTGTTTGAAACACTGATTTCTTAAACACTATTTGGTGAAGTAGGGGAAGACAAGGTGTGTAGTTTCACTTTGGGTAGAAGATGAGCTTCTTATATAGCTTAGAACCTGGCTATGAAGGTCCCAAAAAAAGGGATGACAAAAATTTTTGGAGGGATGGCAACACCCCTGGCTCTTTACGATTCCAATGCCCCCACTACGGCTTCTCAGAGGAAAAAGTAAAGTACAAAAAGGAGTAAAGCAAAAGCTTGAAAATACAAGTTTGCCTCCCAGCTTCCCAGTGGCCACACATTAATAAGATAGAAATGTTACTGATTGCTTAGGAGAAGCAGAGCTTTTCCGGCACAGAAGTCTGAGAAATTATCAGTGGCTCCTCCTCCAGGGGACCCTGCATCATGGGAACTCAGTGACGTTTTTAGGAAAAACAACTGCATGATTAAGATGGTCAAGCTGTGACTTCCTGTCACTGCGAAGTGACAGAATAATGCCAAAATGCAAGTCTTACTGAGCAAACTCATAGGGACCAAACCCATGCTACCTGAAGATCATGGCTTTCTAGCACAACATACCAGAAGTAAAGTTTGAAATACTGAGAAGAACACACAGATTGCACAGCCACAGCCTACCCTTTGTGTTCCTCCTGTGACTGGAATTTAGGATTTTGGCAGAGATTAGGAGTTTACCATCTCTGCCGAGAGTTCAGAGTAGAATCTGACAATATTCTTTGTTACTAGTAAGGGGCAGAGATGATGAGCTTTGACGATCAGTCAAGGCAATGTTGGAATAAACTTATTTAAAAAAAAAACAAAAGGAATTCCACTTAAAGGAACAGTAGAGTAGTTTGCACAGAACTACTCTCTTCTAGGTAATAATTACAAGTTCCAAGCAATGTATTAAAAAACAAAGATACTAGAAAATAAGACAGAAACCAGAAGAGATTCAACCCATGAAAGAAGGAAGCCACACTGGGTTGAAACTGTTCCAGAATTTTCCCTGGAGTGCACTCCTCAGTCTGTACAGCCCGAACACTTAGAGCTTCAAATCAAAGCTTCTGTCTCTGGTTTGAGGCGTCAAGAGTTCAAGGCTGCCACAAAAGATGAAAATTGATGGGAGAAATGCTGGGGGGAAGAAGACATAAGGGGGTGCCTGAAACCTAACATAAATTCCTTCTAATCTGTAACTGCCCCTGAGCAGTGTGGGCCCAATGGGGTAAATTCTAGCACCATCTAAGAGACTCGAGTAGCTCAGCAGGCATTTCCTCTGCTACCTGGAGGAGAGAACATGGGTTTTAGACTGTGAGTCCATGAAAGTAGAGGACTCTAGTGGACACCTCAGATTTTCCACTGAGATCAAACAAATTTTGGCCAGGATTAGAGATCTGGTCCCCAAAGTAAGGAATTTGCCAAAAATTAAGGACAAAATCTAAAAGACCAATCCTATAAAATAAAACAAGCCTCTGGAAGTTCAAGGGTACTAACTACAGGTTATCTGTAAGACAAAAAACATTCTGGAAACAGAAGTTAGAATCTCTACAATGTATTACTGACAGCATCCATTGTTAACTGTCTTCATTACTTTTTCATTGCTGGGACAAAATACCTAACACAAATTAAGGAGGAAAGGTTTATTTTGCTTTAGGCTGACAGAGGGTTCACTCCACAGTTGTTAGACCTGTCTGAGATGCAAGGTCATGGAGCAGACCATACCCTACAAATCAGAAAGCATGGAAGACAGAGAGGACCGCAACTTACCACTGCAGAGCCCTGCAGAGGAACTAGTGCCTCATGGGAAAACCTGAGCTGCAGCTGGCGAATTAGGAGAGCCTCAGCATGGACAAACCTTTGGGATTAAAAACCCTAGGGGCAGTAGTCAATGGGGAGCCCCACACTTCCTGTTTTTCACCCCTAAGAGCTCCACTAGGTTCTCACAGGAAAAACTATGATTACAGGAGGGGAAGAAAAATGAACACTTTTTTTTCAGTACTGGGGATTGAACCTGGATCCATGCAATGAGTTACATCCCTGGCCCTTTTTTAAAATTTTGAAACAGGGTCTTACTAAGTCACTAAGTTGTCCTTGCTGGGCTAGAATTTGTAATCCTCCTGCCTCAGCCTCCCAGAGTGCTGGGAGCACACCTGGTGTCTCCTTTCTAACTTAAAACAGCTATGAAAAAAATCGTAGTAGCAGTGATATTCTTGAATATGCACATTTATGTGTACCTACATGTTTATGTGTAAGTAAGGTGACTGGCTGCAATGCTCTGAAGGATGGAGAAAGGCATTAGGGTTGCTGAAAACCTTTGAAGTGGTATAATACTTTCTCAAAGTGGACTCAGATCAGTGGTAAATTGTATATTGCAAACTTTTTTTTACAAAAGAACACCTGATACAGTAAGAAAATGGAATTATAAAATGCTCCAGAAAAACCACAAAATCAGAAAAATGGTGGGATACAAAAGTAGAAAAAAAGAATAAAGGCAACAAATAGAAAATGCTAACAAATAGATATTTAATACAACTATGTCACAAATTGCTTTTAACATCAATGGTCTAAATCTGCCAATCAAAAGAAATTAACACAGTGGACCAAGAGGGAAAATCCAAGAAATTTGCTCTAAATATAAAGACATAGATGAATAGTAAATGACTGTTGAAAGAGAAAACATCCTAATACTAATCAAGAGAAAGGAACATTTATATTAACTTCACATGGAGCAGACATCAAAGAAAGATGTCAGTGATAAAGCCCAGCATTATATAATGATAAAGGGATCAATTCTCCAAAAAGACACAGCAATCTTTAATGTGTCTATAACTAACCAGAGAGCATCAAAGTTCATGAGGCAAAAACTGGTAGAACTCCAAAGGACAGAATCCACTGTCATAGCTGGAGACATCAATACCTCCATCAGAATGGACAGGCCTGAGGGCTGGGGATGTAGCTCAGCAGTAGAGCACTTGCCTAGCATACGTGAGAAACCGACAGATCTGGCAGGCAAAATCAGTAGTTGGATTCAACCATACCAATAACCCACTGGATATAATGAAAATCTGTAAATCACACCAACAACTGAACATTACAAATTCTTCTCAAGCTCATACATAACACTCTCTAAGCGCTACAGTTTAGATCTTAAATGTCTGCCAAAGGTCCATGTACTAAAGGCTTAGTCTTCAACTCACAGCATTACTAAGATGTAGCATGTCATAGGAGGTTCAAGGTCACTGGGGGCAATCCTCAAAGAGGATTGTGAGGCACTAGTTCATACTTCTCCTCCCCACACACACTTATCCTTCTCCTTCCCTCTCTCTTTCTTTCTCCCTATTCCATTAGGTGAGCAATCATACACTCCAGCCAGGATGTACTGCCTCACCATGGGCACAAAACATTAGGGCCAATCAATCATGGACCAAAACCTCTAAAACTCTGAGCCAAAGACAGACCTTTCTCCTTTTAAATTACCTCAGGTATTTTGTTACAGTAATGGAAATCTGACTAACACAAGATAGACCAAAATATTCTAGGCTATAAAAACACATCATAAAATTATAAAAGAATAGAAATCATATAATGTCTAGTCTTCAACACCAATGGAATTAAACTGAAAATCAGTAACAGGAACCTGGAGAATCTCAAAATACTTGGAGATTAAACAGTATGCTGCTTAGACTGGGGATGTGGGTGAGGGGCAGAGCACTTGCTTAACATTTATGAGGTCACTGGTTCAATCCTCAGCTCTGGAAAAAAAAGAAAATGCCTCCTAAATAACACATTTAAAGGACATATCACAAGAGAAATTTTAAAATATCTGTAAATCAGTGAAAATGAAAAAACTTGCCAAAATATATGAGGTATAATAAAAGCAGAGTTTAGAGGAAAATTTACAGCATTACATGGATATATTAGAAAAGGGAAACTTCTACTTAGGAAACTAGAAATAGCAGGACAAACTAATTACACAGTAAGCAAAAGAAAAGAAATAATAAAAATTAACAAAAATCAATGAAACTAAAATAGAAAAATCAATAAAACCAAAAGCTTGTTTTTTGAAAGGATTAATAAAATTGGTAACTTATTAAGATAAGAAAAGCAAGAAAGAAGGCCCAAATCACTAATACCAGAAATGAAAAAAAAAAAAAAGTACAACCCTACAGATCCCACGGGCATGAAAAGATAATAAAGGAATGTTGTGAATAATCTATGATAACGCTGATTAAATAAACTGATTCCTTGAAAGACTTACTGTGCCAAAATGCACACAAGAAGAAACAGACAATCTGAATAGGCCTGTCTAATTTGCAAGAAATTGAAATATTAATTTAAAACCTTCTAAAAAAGAAACAGCAAGGCACAGGTGCATTCCATTAAATATCTGATGAAAGAAATGATACAAATTCTGTACCATCTCTTCCAGATGTTGAAGCAAACAGTCTATTTCCATATTCTTTGGGGCCAGCATTATCCTAATACAAAGATATCACAAGAAAAGAAAATGGCAAACCACTGTCTTTCATGAGTACAGATGAAAAATCCTCAACAAAATATCACCAATCAAATCTATCAATGTCTTCAAAGTACACACTATGATGAAGTGGGATTTATCCAAAGTATATAAGACTAGTTCAGCATCCAACATGCAATTAATGCGATTCATCATATCAACAGACTGAAGAAGAAAACTCACATGCTCATAACAATACCTGTAGAAAACTCATTTGACAAAAT